AAATTTGCTGAAGATCATTCAAAAATGGCTGCAGCTGTTCATCGCCAAGGAGTTGCCAGGAACTCAAGCTGGATTCAGAAGAGCATGTACATGGCTGACAACAGATGAATCTTGGATGAAAGCAAAGAGTAACAGAGTGATGTTTACTTGTGCTTTGTTGACTCTACAAGGTTATTTGACTGTATGGATCATGACAAACTATGGGTAACATTGTGAAGAATAGGTAGTCCAGAACACTTACTTGTGCTTATGGGGAAGCTGTGCATAGACCAAGAGGCACTTACTTGTTAGAACAAAGGCATGCTGAATGGTGTAAAATCAAGAAAGGTGTATGTCAGGGTTATATCGTGTCACCTTACATGTTCAATTTGTATGTTAAGCAAGTAATCCAAGAAACTGGATTATATGAAGAGGAATGTGGCATCAGGATTGAAGAAAGACTCATTAACAACCTGCAATGTGCAGATGATTCAGTAACTTGTGCTGAAAGTGAAGAGGCCTTGAAGTCTTATTGATGAAAATCAAAGATTGCTACCTTCAGTTTGCATTGCACCTCAATGTAAAGAAAACCAAAATCCTCACAACTGGACCAATAAATAACATCTGGGCAAATGGAGAAAAGATTGGAATTGTCATGTTGTTATTGTTAAGAACCCTCGAGTCATAACTGACTCAGAGAGACCTTATACACAACAGAACGCAACACTGCCTGATCCTCTGCCAATCTCACAATCGTTGCTGCAGTTGAACCTATTGCTGCCACCACTGTGCCAATCCATCTTGTTGGGGGTCTTCCTCTTTTTCCCTGACCCTCCACTTTACCAAGCATGATGTCCTCCTCCATTGACTGGTCCCTCCTGATGATATGTCCAAAGTATGAGAGACAGTGTCTGGCCATTGGCTTCCAAGGAGCGCTCTGGCTGAACTTTTTTCGACACAGATTGGTTTGTTCTTTTGCAGTCCATAGTACTTTTAATCTTAACTTTCAGCACCATAACTCAAATGCATCAATTCTTCTATGGTCTTCCTTAGTCACCACTGCCTACCTTTCACAGGTATATGAGGCTATTGAAAGTAGCGTGGTTTGTGTCAGGTGCACGTTAGTCCTCAAATTGACATCTTTGCTCTTGAACACTTTGCTCTTGAACACTTTCAGGTCTTGTGCAACAGATTTGCCTAATGCAATATGTTATTTGATTTCTTGACTGCTGCTTCCGTGAGTGTTTGTTGATGGTTGGTCTGAGCAAAGTGAAGTCTTCGACAACTTCAGTCTTTTCTCCATTTATATGGATGTTGTTTATTGGTTCAGTGGTGTGGATTTTTGAGGTGCAATCCATAGTGAAAGCTGTGGTCTTTGATGTTCATCAGTATTTTAAATCCTCTTCACTTTCAGCAATCTAAGTTGTATCATCTACATATTGCAGATTGTAAATGAGTCTTCCTCCAATCCTGATGCCATTTCTTTTTCATATAATTCAACTTCTCAGATTATTTGCTAAACATACAGATTGAATAAGTATGGTGAAAGAATACAACTCTTTCTTGACTTTAAGCCATTCAGTGTCCCCTTGTTCTGTTCGAATGACGACTGCCTTTTGGTCTATGTAAAGGTTCCTAAGGAGCACAATTGATGAAGTTGTCTTAGATTTTATTTTACTTACATCCATAGTCAACATTCATGGAAGCATCAGCTAAGAAATCAAATGACATATTGTATTAGGCAAATATTACAAAAGACCTCTTTAAAGTGTCCAAAAGCAAAAATGTCACTTTGAGGATAAAGTGGCATCTTTGCTGACCTAAACCAGGGTATTTTCAATAAGCTCATATGCATGCAAATGCTGGATGATGAATACAGAAGACTGGAAAAATGTACCATGGACTACCAGAAGAACAACCAGATACGTTCCTGAAAGAAGTATAACTAGATTGTTCCTTAGAAGCTGTGCTTGCAAGACTTTGTCTCTCATACTTTGGACATATTGTCAGGAAGGACCAGTCCCTGGAGAAGAACATTGTGCTAGGTAAAGTGAAGGGTCAGTGAAAAAGAGGAAGCCCCCCAGTGAGATGGATTGGCACCGTGGCTACAACTATGGAATGAAACATAAAAACAATTATAAAAATGGTGTACACTTGGGCATTGGTTCGTTCTGTTGTACTTAGGATCACTATGAGTTGGAACCAACTCCATGGCACCTAACAATGGTCTCTGTGTCTTCCTTGTGCTTTCTGTAATCTGTTGTACAGCAGCCAGAGTAATCTCGTAAACAGTCCAGATTTCTTATTCCTTTTCTAAACTCCAGGGACTTCTGTTTTCTCTTATTAAAATTGACTGTGTTTCAGTGGTTATAACTTGAGAACATTTGAATATCAGTGCCTGGGCCTCACCCTTGGCCAGTTAAATCACAGTCTGGGGATATTGGAGACAGGAGCATCTCTGGTGATTACAATGTATATCCTACAAGATCTGGATCTCACTTTCCTCTGATCTTATCACCTGCAATTTTCTCCTTTATTCATTTCTGTTGTAGCCACAGTGGTCTCCTTGCTTTTCCTTAAACAAGGATGTGTATGCATATAAAATTCCTGAAACGAACCCTGCTTCAAACAAGAAAAAGAGCAAGATACTTATTACTAATGATTTAAAGCAAATATATATATATTTGTTGTTGTTATTGCCGTGGAGTCAGTTCTCATAGTGACCCTGTACAGGGTTTCCGAGGCTGTAAATCTTTACAGGAGCAGAAAGCCTCATCTTTCTCCCGCAGAACAGCTGGTAGTTTCAAACTGCTGACCCTGAGGATAGCAGCCCTATTTATATATATATATATACATAACAGTGTTGAAACACGTGCCATTTTGTTTTGAGTTAAAAAGCAGTATGCTGTTTAGATCGTTTTCTATGCAACAGTCTAAACTTAGTCATTGTTTAACAAAAGATGCAGTTACCAGACTTTCTCCAATATGTCTTTAAAAAGTGTGATACCACCTCACTCCTGCTGTGACCCTGTAGTGCCACATCATTAGCACCTGCTGTGCGAATGCTAATGGGGAGGCCTGGTGTGGCACTGAAGGTTAATGCGCCAGACTGCAAAGCCCTTTGAACTGCAAGGTCGGCAGTTCAAGCTCACCAGTTGCTCCTGGGAAACCCTCTACAGGGTCACTATGGGTTGGAACTGACCCAACAGCACTAAACTACAACAACAATGCTAATGGAGCTGAGTATAGTTACCATGGATTTGAAATTCAAATAGATTCCCTATGTGTTAGTTTTGTTTCCTTTGTTGGTTTTTGTTTGTTTGTTTGTTTGTTTTTAAAGAATATGGGTATAGTTTTTTAAAAATGCAGCCATGTAGCAGGGTCTGTAGTGAGCTGTAAGTTTCCTCCTGCTCCTAGTTTCCAGCATTCACTGTTACCAACTGATATCATGTCACATGGTAGTTTTATAAATTTTAATTTTAATATTTTATTTAAAAAAAGAAAGCTTGCCTATTTAGTTTGAAGAATTGTTGTCATGAAATAAATGACAAACGCATACTGTACTTTTTTGACATATACGCATGCTAAGATTAAATTGTCAAAATGGTATAAACATAAAACTCCAGCACTGTGGACTCAGCAGCTCTGTAGAACAGAGTAGAAGTGCCCCCATAGAGTTTCCAAGAGTGTCGGTCTGAACAGAATCAGACAGCTGCATCTTTCTGCTGTGTGTGTCTTGTCAGCTGGAGCCAACGACCTACTAGTTACCAGCCTACCACTGTAGCCACTGTGCCACCAGGACTCCCTTAAACACTGAGCACTCACTAATTCTAAAATCAAAGAGCCTACATAGAAGATTTTTTAGGGCAGAAGTTCTGGGAAGCTCTCTCCTCCATGAAGTGAGATTCTGTGAACATTCCTGTGTTTTCTCAGTGTATATGGCTGGCTGTCTTGGCCCACAATGTTCTATTCCCTCGTCTTTGTATCTGCCCACAGGCAGCCTTCCTTTAGAGTCTTTTTCATCTCTCTCTAGGTAAACTGCTCCTAGCTCATTCTCCTCTCTCTTCTTTGCCTTCACTGCCAGGGTTCCATGTCATTAGCTCTTCATATGTAGGAACTAACCTTTCCTTGACTGTCCTTCTCAGTGGCTTCCATGTAATATCTTGCTCACTCTAGGTATTTATTGAGTAAACTTCGCCAGTATGATTACTAGCCTCGTTGTTAAGAGAATGGACTTTGGTATCCGATCGGGCTCAAATTCTAACTCTGCCATTAACTAGCTGTGTGACAAGGCAAGGTGCTATGGCTTCTCTAGGCTGGGCCCAAGCTTCTCTGAGCCCTCCATCTTTAAAATGGGGCTACTGCAATTTGTGATAATGCACTGGACTGCAAGGACAGTTTGAACTGCTCCTTGGAAACCCTGTATAAGGTCACTAGGAGTCAGAACCATCTCAACAGCACTTAACAACAGCAATTGCAGTTTTGCTTTGAGGGCTAAATGAGAATGCTTATGCAGATAATGAGCATGTTGTTGTTGTGATATGCCCTTGAGCCCATTCCAACTCATGGTAACCCTGGATGGAGTTTGTGAAGAGCTCCTGGTGGGTTTGAACCACCCACCTGGCAGCAGTCCAGTGCTTATCCTACAGTGTCACACCAGAGCTCCCATGAAGAGCGTGTTGTTGCTGTTGTTAAATGCCCTCAGGTTGATTCCAATTCATAGCGACCCTGTATAGGATTTCTAAGGCTGTAGATCTGTAGTTACGGAAAGCCTCATCTTTCTCCTATGGAGTAGCTGGTGAGCTCAAACCCCTGAGCCTGTGATTAGCAGCCCAGTGTTTATCCTACAGAGCCACAGTGCTCCCTAATAAGTTGTAGTTATAATTGTAATGCTTGTTGGTGTTGGTGAGCATCTCAGTTTACATTAGAGCAGCATTTGATGACTGAAATTAAAAATGTTCCTTCTGCGTTGTCTCATATGGGCCTCATTAACCCTCTCACATTTCATTTCTCTTCTTCAGAGTTATTGATTTAGGAGTCATGACTCCCTGTGATAAGATACTGAAAGCTGCTCTTGACCACAAAGCAGGTATTGTGCAACTGTACTTCTGGGCATTTCCTGGACTGTCATTTCCCCCAAGTGTGTGTCAGTGAGGAGCAATGCCTCAGCTCATTGGACCCTGTGGTTCCTATGGATGGAGAGTCAGACCCTGCATGGGACTGCTCGTATTGCATTTTAAATGAGGGTTGAGCCCAGTGATTAAGTTCCAGTGAAACAACTGTATAGTTCTGGAGATAAGGCTTGGTGCGTTAGACAGTTTTCTGGGTCTAAGTCTTTTTTATGTTTCCTTGAATACTGGGACATTTTTTGAGTTGGGAAAATTATAAATTAAGTATATATTTTGTTGGATGATGATCTAAAACTCGGACAAGTACATTATTGCAACTTTTAAGGTTGCAAATCATATTTACTACAAAAAGCAAAAATATGCATTAAAATCCCCTTGTTAGAACCAATGTCTTAGACATTGGGAAGCCATGTTAAATGTTCTGGCCTTAATTAAATCATTTACACTTTTTTCATCTTTCTCCACCTTTTCTCTCATGTTCCATCTCCCTATCATTTTTCTCTTCTCCTACAACAATAGATATCATTGGTCTGTCCGGGCTGATCACTCCTTCCCTGGATGAAATGGTTTTCGTGGCCAAGGAAATGGAGAGACTTACCATCAAGATTCCACTGTTGATTGGAGGAGCTACCACATCCAGGTAAGTTGTGCTAATGATGTCTGTGCTTCAGTGTAAATGCCAGTGTTGAAGACACTCATTAAAGTGGTGTTTTTGTTTTT